CCAGGGATGAATTCCTTCCAGATACCCCACCTYACCCTGCCCTCTGGCATTTTTAAGCCACTCCTATCACCACATGCCCTTGTCCAAAGTTCCTTTCCATACATTTCCTGACCCAGAAGCAGGACCCCGAGGCAGGCAGGAGAAGGAGCTGTGTCTCCATGCTGGGATGCCCTCAAAACACCTGAAAAATCCAACTGTGGAAGCTGCTTATCTCTTACACCATCCTTGCTCCTCTCTTTAATTCCTCGGGGCTCCCCTCCCGGAACAGCTGTCGAGAGATTTGCAGCAGCAGGAACGTGTCATCTCCACCCAATGATCCAACAGTCCCACCAATTGTGGGTATTATTTCTCTTAAATCTACCCCTTAATCCTATAATGCCATAAAATACCTCTGAATCAGAGCTTAGCAGGATTCCAGWGAGGAACAGACTTTTAACGAGATAATGAGAGCTCCGCGTTTCTGTTGGATAGGATTGAAAGGAGAGGATGGGGGAGGCAGAACGCACCAGATGGGCAGATTATTTCATCCTTTTCCTTAATATGATTTCCTCAACCTGAAGCATCTGGTAATTCCACTATCAGAGATTAGATACCGGATAAGATGGACAGGCAGGCTGATCTAACAAAGCAATTTTATTTCCTGGCTCCAGACAGGAGAGGTTCCCATTAAATCCTGGATCACAGGATAAACCAGAGGTGCATCAAATGCTGTATCCAAGCAGGGAATGTTGGCAGGCCCTGGATTCCATGTAAATATGGTTCACTTTCAATACAGAGAACACCCCATCTCCCTAAGCCCATCCTCCCCAGGCAGGCAGTGARTGCTGAGGAGGGATAACCAATAAAACTCACACAGCAGCCTCATCCTTCAGAGGCTTTTGCAGAAAACTGAAGAAARTCTTTCCAGCTCATTTTTGTGGAGATTTGTGCAGAAGTCCTGCAGGCAGCATCTTGGGTACTTCCAAGGAAGCAGAGATTGTTTTCCAGAACATGCAGGAATCACGCCTTAAAGCCAAAAACCCAACCAAGCATGACAGAAACGTGTTTGTTCCCCGTACTTTTCTCATTATGACAGCAAATTCTGGAATAAGGTTCCTCACCCTGAAACACCAACCTTGCCTTATTTCAGCCCAAGGAAGAGCTTCCCAAATGGGATCCATTCTTGATTCACTGGAAAAGCTCGGGCACACCCAGCACAGCTCAGCAGAGGGTCAGGATTARGAACAGCAACAAGGTCCAGGTGTGACAGGCACAGATCCCTGATGGAATCAGCTCCACAGACATCATTCCAGAGCCTTGGTACCAATTCTCTGGGAATCAGCCCAGGGCAACCCCAAATCCTGTCCCAGGGATGAACAGCAGGGARAGGTTTCTCCAGCCCAGGAGAGCAGCCCCAGCAGGAATGGAGAAAGGGGAAGGAAAAAAGGACACAGGAAAAGGGAAGGGGAAGGAAAAAAGGGAAGGGGAAAGAAAAATGGGAAGGGGAAAGAAGGAAGGGGTGAGGGGAAAGGGGTGAGGGGAAAGGGGTGAGGGGAAAGGGAAAGGGGGAAGGGAAAAGGGGGAATGGGAGAAGGAAAGGGGGAAGAAGAAAGGAAAGGGGAAGAGGGAGAAAGGAGGAGGGATAAGGGGAGGGGAGAGGGGAAAGAGGAAAAAGGAAAGGGGGAGGGAAAGGGGAAAGGATAAGGGAAGGAGAGGGTAAAAGGAAAGGAAAAGGGGAAATGGAAAAGGGAAATGGAAAACAGGAAAGGGGGAGGCATATAGGGAGGGGAAAGAGGAAGGRGAAGTGGAATAGKGAAGGAAATCTCTCAAAAAAAACCRAGATGACAACCCAAACTACCAAAAGCAGCCACCACAATCCCCCAAACCAGGACAAACAAGTTGTTCTGCCCCAGCTCCTGGTGCTGGGTAAGGCTTTACCTTCTCCTGAATATCATTCTGGAGCCAGCACCTCTAGAACCATTTTCCCCAGGTAAATTCTCCTTCCTCTGCCTCTGGGCAGGACTGGAAGGCTCTGAGCTGGGAGCTGGGCTCACTCCTCCTCACCAACAGCACCTGAAACCACGTGCAGCAGGGACAGCTGAGTCCTGGAACCCTCAATGATACAGACCACGAGCTGCAGGGAGCCTGGATACATGAAAATATCCCCAAAATATGCCCAACTCCCCCTAAATTCTCCTTGCTCTGCTTCCCTTGGGCCACAGGCACAAAGAGCGGGCAGGAAAAGGACTCAGGGCTGATCCAGCAGTCAGGGTAGTGTCACTTGACCACATCAATGTCTTTAAAAACAGGAAAAACTGAAGGAAAGGATGGGGGGTGCCAGCCCCAGCCCATTTGCATTCTAGACACCCAGCAGCCTTTGGTTGAACCTCCCAGGCTTCACCATTATATTTAAAACTACCACATGCTCTGTGATGCTTATCAGCTGGAGGGTTTTCAACAGTTTATCCCCACTAATGCTGCAATTCCAAAGCCATTTAGGCTAATTTCCCTTGACTTGAATCTATTTTAATCAGAGACCAGGATACTTGACTTAAATGGTTTGTGTTCAACCCTTCATAAAACCAGCCATAAAACTGAATGCACTGAATAGCAAGGGAACCTTGAAGCCCGAAGTGGGAAAAGCTGAAACTTTCCAAATTCTCCAGCAAACTCCAGCCTGTTTCACACAAACTGCTCTCTTACAGAATMAAAAAAAAAATTGATCCTCAAAATAAAAAACCCCAAACCAATAARGAAAACCAGCTCCTGAAGTTCTTAYGTAAATAAAAGACACGAAGCTGTGCAGCTGCAGTCAGAACCCACAAATTCTCTCCAAAGCCTCAGCCCAGTTCCAAAATGAAGCATTTTTAATGCATTGCTGCACCCTGTCCTCTCCCCCACTCTCCCACGACATGATGGATAGTGGAACTGAGGAAAAATACAACGCAAGCCTAAAAATGTCAGAATTAATCCTTTTCTTCCCCCGAAATCCGAAAAGAAACGTTACTTCTCAAATTAATTCTGCCCAAGTAACGCCGGCTCTGCTGGAAGTCAGAGCTGTGGATGAGAAATGGAAATGAGCAGCTCAGCCCCAGGTAAGTGCCGGAGAAGGTCTCGCTCCGAGGGTTCGGCTTTGTGCTGGGATTTGCATATCACAGAGGCAGAGGTGCAATTTGTCCCAGCAATTCCAGGCGTCTGCACCAGCTGCAGCAGCACAACCTTTGGAAAGCCATCCAAGGATTTCTGCTTGCAGTGTTTGACAGCCCTGGACGCTCCCAGGGGCTGCTTGGGATTCAGGCAGCGCCTGGAGAGGAGGAGGAGGAACAAAGGCTCTCGGAGCCTGAGCAATCTGCCAGCACCTGGAGCTGCATCCCCCGGCTGCAGCATTGTCACTGCTGAAAGGAATGACAAGGGAGGGTCCTTAAAACCAAACTGTGACTCTGTGGGTAAGACCAGACTGATACTGGGAGACAGGAGAAACAAGGGGAATGATTTCCATGGGAATTCACTGATTGACTGACCCCAGACTGAATGAACTATGACAGCAGACATAGACAAAAAAAAAAAAAGAAGAAAGGGGGGATGCGTATTAAAGGAGGATGTATATTAGAAGGGATATTAAAGAGGAGGTGGATATTCAAAGGGGGATGGATATTAAAGGGGAGGTTGCATTGGGCATTTTGGAGAGCCTGCGCCTCTAAGCACCTCAGCCAATGGGGAAAGARAGAGAGAACTGTGGCTTGGAAATTGGGATAAAAGAGGCTGCGTCCTCTATCAGTCTGAGAGACCCCATGGAAATGTTCCATGGCCTCTCCCTTTATAGATAAATAAAGGTACAGGACTCCTCTGTCTTCTTTTTGGACATAAACTTTGGGTGTTTGTGCATTAATTTTCCTCAGACTGCTCTGCAGGTGCCAGCAGCAGCTCTGTCACGGCCCTGATCACACAGCCATTGGACATGGATCTTTCACACTCCAAACCTCTCTCAGCTCTGTTTTTATCGAGGATTTCACTCCAAGCCTGGACAAACTGACACTTCCCTATTTTGAGGAACACTCTGGCAGCCGTATCTAAAATTAACCTGCACAAAGATAAACCTGCAGCATGGCTTTCCTCATCCCCTTAACAAAATGATGTGTCACCTCTTTGAAAAGCCRTTCTCCTGTGCTGCTTGGCAGGTAAACATCACCAGCACTTGAAAAGCTCAATCAGGAAAGGAGAGGAAGGAAAATTGYCTYTGTKTCAACTCCTTTCAGTGYCCCAGATCTCCARCAGGAGATCCCAGAGTGTCCCAGGAGGATCCCTGTGCTGGGAGGAGACCAAGGGCAGCCCAAGGGCCCCAGAGGTCCTACAGGGATGTGAGGGAGCTGATGAGGAGGGAGGGAGAATCTCTGCACGTATTTCCAGGGGAATAAACACCAACAGCTCAGTGACAGCAGAGCTGAGCTTTCGATGGCAGCACTTCCACCCAAAATCACCAACTGCTTTAGGAAAACAGAGACTGAGAAAAGTGGGAAGAAAGTCACCTTTTTCCCCCGATAAATCATCTTGATGGACTCTCTCTCCAAGTGTAACAAGGGTGGGCCCAGGTGGGAATCAGTTTATTCTCACAGGTACCAACTGACAGGACAAGGGGAAATGACCTCAAGTTGTGCCAGGTGAAATTTAGGTGAGATATTGGGAATTATTTTTCCCCGGAAAGGGTGGTCAGGTCCTGGCACAGATGTGCAGGGCAGTGCTGCCATCCCCATACCAGGCGGGGTTTAACAGCCCCGTGGATGTGGCACTTGAGGACATGGGGCAGTGGTGGCCTCGGTAGTGCTGAGAAATGGTTGGATTTGATGCTCTTGGAGGGCTTTTCCAGTCTCAGTGATTCCCTGGTTCCAGGAGCTCAGCTCCAGCCCAATCTCCCCAGTTTCTCATCACTGAGCAGRGCCCTGGAATGAGGAGGGAAGAGCCAGCAGCACTCCTGGCTCCTGGGTGAGCCCCTGAACACAAAGATTCCCTCAGGGAGCACTCACTTGGTTGGGCGATAATCCGGGATGGAGCGGTCCAGGGAGATCTTCTCGCTGAGGTAGGAGTTGTAGCCGTACTTCTCATGGGGTCCCTTGGCTTTCTCCTCCTCCTCGGGGGACAGGGTGGCCGGGAGGCCACCTTTGCCACGGCCCCCATAGCCCTCAATGAGACCAAGGGACTTGGACAGACCTGGAGGGGAAACAGAAACACCACCACTGTAAAAACCATCACTGGAAAACCCATGACTGGGAAAACCCATCACTGAAAAACCCACTGTAAAACTGGAAAAATCCCTCATTGGTAAAATTAATCACTGGAAAATCCATCACAGGTAAAACCCATCATTGGTAAAACCCACCACTGGTAAAACCCGTCACAGGTAAAATCCATTATTGGTAAAACACAACCACTGGTAAAACACATTGCTGTTAAAACTCACCACTTGTAAAACACATCATTGGTAAAATTAATCATTGGTAAAATAAATCACTGGTAAAATTAATAACTGGTAAAACCCATCATGAGTAAAATCCATAACTGGTAAAATCCTTCCCTGTTAAAACCCATCATTGGTAAAATTCATCACTGTAAAACCCATTACTGTAAAACCTATTACTGTAAAACCCATCCCTGGTAAAACCCATCACTGTAAAACCCATCATTGGAAAAATCCATTGCTGTTAAAATTAATTACTGGTAAAATGCATCACAGGTAAAACTAATAACTGGTAAAATCCATCCTGGTAAAATTAATCACTGGTGAAACTCAGCCCTGGTAAAATTAATCACTGGTGAAGCTCAGCCCTGGTAAAATCAATCACTGTAAAATCCATCCCTGTAAAAATAATCCCTGGTATAAGCCATCACTGGTAAAATTAATCACTGGTAAAACCTACCACTGGTAAAATCCATCACTGCTTAAACCCATAATTGGTAAAATCCATTGCTAGTAAAACTCATCCCTGGTAAAATCCATCATTGGTAAAACCCATCACTGGAAAAATCCATCACTGGTAAAATTAATTACTAGTAAAACCCATCACTGGTAAAATCCATCATTGGTAAAACTCACCATTGGTAAAATCCACCACTGGTAAAATCCTTTCCTGTTAAAGCCCATCGCAGGTAAAATCCATCACTGTTAAAACCCATCCCTGGTAAAACCCATCCCTATTATTTCCAAAAGAAACAAAACCACTCCAGAAATCCTGGCTGTTTTGGGTTGGTTTTCTGCAAMCATTCCAACTTCTCCTTCTTTGGCCCAATGCTGGAACAAAAATGCCTCAAGCCTTGAAACTTCTGGTGGCTCAGGCCCCCTGCCCGTGCCAGCCCTGGGCATGCAGCTGATAACCTGTCCYGGGGATCTGCRTATTTCTGGMGGTGGTGGGGAGGTTATTYRGGYGTCCTCCCCACTCTYAGAGAGGTAATTACAKGGAAGGTTTGATGTCCCCAGGAGAAGGATAGGTGGAACACAGAGCAGGAATAAAACAGGGTTGGTTAAGTGCCAGCTGAATGAATTTTTTGCTCAGTGGGAACAGTGAACGGCATACAAATGGTACAGATTTCAAAACAATTTCCCCTCAAAGCCTTCTTATCTTTTTAAGTACAGCGTTCCCAGACCCTTATCAAGGGGAATTATTTATTTATATCTGCATAGCTGAAGGAAATAGGCAAAGTTCAAAATGAGCTGCACATAAAGAGCTCCATGGATGATTTGGTGGTGGCTGTAGGAAGCCAGCTCATGCTCATGCTATTATTTATTAGACAGGACACCTGAAATTTGAATATTTTTCATTAGCAGAGTCCTACTCTCTTTTTGTCAGAAACACAAATATAAAAATGATGGATTTTGTTTTGCCTTCTTGTTTGTTTG